GGTATATCCAAGTGCTGAAATGTTTTTACAGTAGGGTTTCGATGGCTATCCGAGTATAGAACCAGAGTTCGAAACCTATCCAACTGCAGAGAGGTGTAAGACAGGGCGACGTTATATCCCCGAAACTCTTCACCGCTGCGTTGGAAGACGTTTTCAAGCTACTGGACTGGAAAGATACGGTATTAACATCAATGGCGAGTACATCACTCACCTTCGATTTGCCGACGATATAGTTCTTATGGCAGGATCGCTGGAGGACCTTAGCGCTATGCTCAATGACCTCAATGGTGTCTCCCAACGGATAGGTCTTAAGATGAACATGGACAAAACGAAGGTCATGTTTAATGTCACACCTATTCCGGTAGTTGTTGGGAGCACTATGCTCGAAGTTGTCGACGAGTACGTTTATCTGGGACAAATAGTCCGACTAGGTAAGTTCAACTTCGACCGAGAGGTCAATCGACGGATTCAACTCGACTGGGCAGCGTTCAGGAAATTACGACACATCTTCTGGTCAGGTATACCTCAATCTCTGAAAACCAAAGTGTACAACCAGTGCATATAGCCGGTGATGACTTACGGATCTGAGACGTGGTCCTTCACTGCTGGCCGTATGAGGACGCTCAAGGTCGCTCAGCGAGCTATGGAGAGGGCTATGCTCGGAGTTTCTCTGCGTGATAGACTCAGAAATGAGGATATCTGCAGTAAAACCAGAATGACCGATATAGTCCAACGGATTAGTAAGCTGAAGTGGCAATTGGCCGGCCATATAGCTCGAAGAACCGATAACCGATGGGGAAGAAAGGTTCTCGAGTGGCAGCCTCGTACCGGTAGGCGTAGTGTAGGGCGACACCCCACTAGATGGAGTGACGACCTGGTAAGACATACAGGAAGTCGATGGATACGGTATATGCGGTATAACGCTGGTAAATGTTGACTCGTCGCACCGTCTAAGTTTTCACCGGACAAGACAGAAAATCTCACTCTTGCTAGGTATTCGACATTGTACATTAAGTATTGGTACACGTTTACGATAACTGTCGACGTCACCACGTAGATATTTGCAGATGACTGAAATGGGAGATTTTTTTTTCGCCCGAAGCAATTATGGGCAACCCTCCGGAAAGCGGGGGGAGGGAGGTTGGGAATGCTCATAGCATATCACGCAGCCGGCTGCGTGGTTATGTGGTGACTTTTACCCACTAAACCCAACCTTTTAGGAATTGGCTTAACGATCTGACTAGAGATCTCTAAGCCGTATACGAACGCGACCCTCCTTGGCAGAAAGGAGGGCGCAAAATGAGAGAGCAGATGGTCTTGCCCTTGCACCTGCGACCCTACAAAAGGGCAAGGACAAGGACAAAGAAGCCTCCGGAAAGTGCAGCGAATATGTTACAAAGAATTTGTTTGTCGCTGTTCTAGTAAAGTAGAATGCGTGTGATTTAAATTTCCATAGTTTTTAATTGATTTATGTATTTAGTTCAAAATTTTTGATTTATCCTCTTAGTACAGAAAGTTTACTTCAAATTAATAATATTTATTGATAGATAAATTCCATATTATGTTAATAACTTTATTTCATAAAACTCGACAGATTTTAAATTAAATGTAAATATTTTTTTATGTGCAAATTGCATGTGGTTTTTATTAATGTTGGTGTCAGTAATTGTGGCCACCCTCGGTCGGTTAAAGACATTAGTCGAACTGATATCAGTTCGAAAGGATTTAAGCTAAACAAATTTCCACACACACGATCAGTTCAACTGATCGTACCAACTGATCAATCCAAACTAGGGATGTGATATTTTTTAAAATATCGTATTTTTGATATATTGATAATGATAAATATATCAATGTTGGTGTTCTATAGATCGTAAGTTAATATACAGTAAGTCAATATCGAAGTTTTATAAAACGAAAAGATATCGATATATCGACTTTATTTAAAAAAACAACCATAAGTCATTTAAGTTTAGTTCATTTATTATATTTAGCGTCTTTCCTTGAATATTGTTGTTGGGAGTAGTGGTGCCGGGAGTAGTGGTGTTGGGAGTAGTGATGCTTCTTTTGTGAGGATTTCTAGCCTATCAAATTCATGAAATTTATATCCACACTTGTAAACGTAGTTTTTTTCATGAATGCGCCACCTGGTACGCATTGTATCAAATGTTTATGTTAAATCACCACGCATACGTTAGTGTGGGCAGAAACAATACCCTCAAATAATCTTATTATGCTGCTTCCGCCACCAGCATTTATCACGAGAAGGTTTTGGAATTACATCACAAGAAGGTGGAATCATTTTGAGGAGAAACCAAAATATTACCCTTAACAAAAGTAGTTAAATTGGAACCATAATTTTAACGCGATGGAGCAAAGCTGCACTTTACGAATAGGTAAACTTCAACGAGAAAGAACTACGCACTCACAGAACATCACCGTAAAATTATGGTAAGTGAAGTAAAGCAGAGACCTCAGAGAATCTCGATCGAGGATAAACGGTGTCTACGGATCAAGCAATTAACTTATCGTCGTATGGACTGTATGCTCGGATAAAACAGTTTATTAAATCATATTCAATCAACCTCATATAACGGTATCGTAATTAAACTCATTACTCGTAACTCTGAGAAAAAACGATTTTGAAACAGATTTACATTACTTCCATCATTAATATCGTAACCGATTTACTGATTAAAATAAACTAGCACATTATTCTGATCAACAGTTTTAATTAATTGCACGAGATGAACGACATTATCGAGTTGAACATGTTTGTCCAAGTCTGACTATGTTTAAAGTATCATTAGTGAAAAATATGAATTTAGTACGTGTTAGGACATATGTTAGATGCATTTTTATGTTGTATGTATATACATTTAATAATGTATTACAAAACCCCTAATCTATTTAGTTTATAAAGCTTTACTAATCAAAATCTAAGCTTGAGTAATCCATGAAACTTCGGAAGACTCAAGTAACAATAATTTTTTTACAACCCTTGATTTTATATAGAATGAATATAATATTACCACTTATGGACACCACACACGGTCAGTTAAACTGATCAGTTGAACTGACGTACATCCAAAAACTGACCGTGAATGTGGAATCTTAAGTTAAAATTTTCAACTGACGATAACCCACGGATTTTTTTCGTCGCACTGTCAGTTGAAACTACTCGGCTGAACTGACGTAAATCTAAAATCTGATAGAGAGTGCGAAATCTTAAGTTGAAATTTTTAACTGATGACACTCCGGGCGTGCCGTAATCCGCTGGCTTCAGTTCGTTTTAATTACTGGTAAGTACCTACTTTCTTAGTAGGTACATACATTATTTCTATGCTATTTAGATTTTTTTTGTTCTTAATATATAGATTACGTGTCACGTTGTTTGTCCGCGATGAACTCTTAAACCGCTTAACCGATTTTAATCAAATTTACACACCGTGTGCAGTGTGCTTCAACTTGAGAGATATGATTTTTTTTGAGAAATTCCGTTAATTATCATGTTGATAGAAGTTGAATGTAGGTGTGGCCACGACCTAACGCGTTAATTTAACAATGACATTGACAATGCACTGACAATGCCGTTCACCGTTTGGCGATAACTCGGGTAGCGGTACATCAAAGAGATTAACGCAAGAAATAACACGTTGAAGCGGCCACACTACGTTTGTCTGACTGTGTACGATGAACGCAACAAGGTCGCACGTATGGCTATGATGAAGTGGAATAATAAAAAGTTATTACGTTTCTGGAGATGCTGCAAACAGAGCCATGTTTGTGGGATCCGAGACAAAAAGCTTTAAGAACAGCGCGTAATGATTCTTTGCGACGAATTATCCAATTATTATCTTAATGGTTAAAATCTAATGGTTTTTATAGAACCATTTTCAACAAATATAAAAAGTCTTCAAGGAACATTAATGCCAATTTTAACGCCGTTCAATGGCATTGAAATTTAATGACGTAGAGCGTTCAAGTATAGCCAACTTTTAAAGTAATACTTGTTGCCGTTTTTAGGCATTGACGTTGCTTGTGTAGTACCAGCATTAGCGCGTTCGCTCGATGCTCGACGCAGGGGCGGAGTCAGCGGAGCGATACCATAGTCGCGCGGTGATGAATATCGACACTCGATATTTTTTGCAATAAAAAGTTTTAATTATTTATTTCTTTTGTCTCGTAAATAATTTAATCTACTACTACACAATCTTCTGTACTTTATTTTATTCTATTAATTTTCCCCCAGGTTGTTTATTTGCTTATTATCTAAAAAAAGAAATGTTATTTTTTATAGTATATATCTGTGGTATTAAAATTACTATAATCTACGAAACTTAAAACTACTTTACTAATTAGTAAAGATGTTAAGGGAGAGGGCGCTGCTCTGCCACGATAAACATCAACTCTGTGTTTAAAGTGAAATAAAAAATAGATTTATAATATTTTAAAAAGCAAAAGTGAATAAATTTGTGTGATTGGACAAAAATCTATAAGGACAAAATATAGAACAAAGTGAAAACCAAGTGAATAACAAAAAAAAACATTATCCTTTCAACAGAGACAACACAACGGCTACTTGTGTATATTATGTCAAGTGAAGAAAGCAAATAAAAGAACGGAATGTAATAAAAACGAGTGAAAATAACTATCAATAAGCTGAACTACGAGTGAAAGTGTGAAAGATTGAACAGTGGTGATTTATTTATTACACAAAATAAAATATAACCTAAATTAGTGAGCAGAAATCAAAACATGACTAACGGAAATTGCCTGTAGAAACTAACGCCATCTATCAAAATATTTAAAAACTACGTGCACATCGATCACGATTGTTTAGATAAGCAAATCCAAAGAGCCAGAAATATTTTGCTAGTTCATCACTCCGCTAACAGAGTACGCTGTTTACAATTTAAGTAAAAACATTACTATAAGACTGCATTACACCAAAATTTCATTTTTACCACCTTATTGTAAACATAGAAGAAATAAAAAACATGTTAGAAAACCTCCGGAAGGAGTTGTTGCAACAAAAAAAAGACATGCACGACATGAAAGAAGATATTAAGAATACAATTAACAATAATATAAATGAAAAGTTTAAAAACTTAGAAATGAAGAACGAACATCTAGAAAATAAAATAAAGGAACATTCTTTACAAATCAACAACATCGAAAGATTTATGAGACGCAAAAACTTAATTTTCTTTGGTGTGGAAGAAGGGGAAAAATCATACAATGATTTGGAAAATGCAATATTACACATAATAAATAAATGCTTTGGTTTTAATTTTGAAAACGGGTTAGAATCCGTTAGAAGAATAGGAAAAAAGGGTGAAATAATCAGGCCTGTTGTAGTCACGTTCAGTACAATGGGATTCAAATTGAAAATTCAACAAAATCAAAAATGCTTAAAAGATACCCCCTACTATGTTAAACAGGATTTTCCGAAAGAAGTGCTGAAAAAACGTAAGGAATTACAGCCCCAGTTGAAGGTGGAAAGAGAAGCAGGTAACACAGCTTTTATAAAATATGATAAGCTCATAGTATTACCTAGAAAAAATAAAACCTCTACACAAAACCCTACCAACAAAAGATCAATATCTGAATCTCCCGAAACTACGTTAAAAAACCCCTCTAACATTTTACAAAATAAAAAGCAGTCAGTTAAGAAGAGCAAAACAACAACAATGAAGGAATACATTCGACATAAACCAAAATTTATACTAAATTCTGAACGGACTACGCATGACTCTACACCCAGTGAGGCTAATGAGCACACAAATTAGCAATTACAAAAGGGCCCTCTCAATCTCCTATCACGGCTTGTCACCGCAGGAGATAAGGACTATAACCCTCCAACACAACAACTACTATATATATGCACGTATAATGTAAGATCGCTGTTATCACCGCAACGAATGATATTACTTAAAAACTCCGTAAATAACATAAAATATGACATTATAGGATTGGCAGAAATAAGAAGAACTGGTAGCCACATCATAGAACTCGAAGAACATATTTTCTGCTATACAGGAACAACGAAAGGTCTGCATGGTGTTGGCTTCTTGATCAAAAAGAAATATAAATCAAATATTCAGAACTATATAGGATTATCAGAAAGAGTATGCATGCTGAATCTCCAATTCGAAACAACAAAAATATCATTAATACAGGTATATGCACCCACCCACGACGCAAGTGATGAAGAAATGACATCCTTCTACGATCAACTTCAAACTGCTCACTCACTCGCTAACGAGACACTGGTTGTAATGGGAGATTTAAACGCCAAAATTGGCCAAAGGAAACCGGGAGAAAATACAGTAATGGGACCATACTGTTATGGCATCAGAAATGATAGAGGCGAGCGGATAATACAATATGCATTAGAAAATAAGCTTACTGTAATAAATACATTATTTAAGAAAAAACAAAAAAACTTATGGACCTGGACAAGTCCAAATGGAGCGATTAAAAATCAAATCGACTACATTCTTAGTAATAACCCTAAAAAATTCTTAAATATAGAAACACTAAACAACAACCTATTCACAAGTGACCACAAATTAGTACGTGGTACATATAACCTTGGGAAACAGAAGAAAAGTAGAGCTATGTTTCGCAGTTTTCCAACCCTCATACAAGGCAAAGAAAATACAAAAGCATTCTTAAATTCATTCGCAGTTTTCCAACCCTCATACAAGGCAAAGAAAATACAAAAGCATTCTTAAATTCATTAGATAAGGAAATACAAAAAATATCTCGATGTGAAACTGAAGATGTAGAGTCCTACTACAGTAAAATAGAAACAGCGATATTACAAAGTATAAATAACACAAGCTCAAAAAAAGAAAAAAAGGATATAATATCAGCAGAAACAAAGACTTTGATAAAAAAGGAGAATAGAGCTACAACGTAAAAAACCTAAAAACAGAAAAGAGAGGCAGGAACTTTCTAACCTATATAAAAGTACAAACAAGAGCTTAAAAAAAGACTACAATAATTATAGAATGAAAATTATAGAAACAAATTTATTAAAGTCTGGAAGCCAAAAAAAGGCGTTCAAACAACTTAATACTAGCAAAACATGGATTCCAAAGCTACAATCAACAATTCCAAACAAGCATACGTTAACAAGAATTGATATAGTTAAAGCTGCCTCAGATTTCTACAAAAATCTATATAGCTACCAAAACTGTAGCAAAGAAATCGAAACAAGCTACACTCAAGTTCACACCTCAAAAACTCTACTACCAATTCGACCAGTCAAACCGTTTGAAGAGAAGGAAATAATAAGGCAAATAGACATGCTCAAAAAAGAGAAAAGTCCCGGACATGATAATATACCCAACGAAGCTCTCAAACTAGGAAAATTCTTACTGGATAGTTCCCTTACAAATCTTTTTAACAAAATCTTGCTAGAACAAAGAGTACCTTTGAATTGGGCAGAGTCGAGAATCATACTTCTTTACAAGAAAGGCGACCCATCGGATATGAACAACTACCGGCCTATCAGCTTACTTTCTGCTGTATACAAATTATTTGCAGCCTGCTTAAATAAGAGAATAGAGACTGAGATAGAGTCACATCAAACCATAGAACAGGCAGGCTTTAGAAAGGGCTTTTGCACAATTGATCATATACATACTTTGGAACAAGTAATTGAAAAACACCAGGAATATCAACAGCCCCTATATCTAGCCTTTATCGACTACGCAAAGGCCTTCGACTCTATCTCACATAACAGCTTATGGCGAGCGCTAGAAAACCAAAATATTCCAGAAACTTTTATAAACATCCTGAAAGACATCTAGAGCAAAAGCGTAAGCCGTGTAAAGCTAGATAGGCTTGGATCAAAAATTGAAATACGTAGAGGCGTGAAACAGGGGGACCCGCTATCTCCCACTATATTTATATCTGTCTTACAGTATATAATGAAAGACTTACATTGGCAACATAAAGGTATTAGCATAAATGGAAAAAATTTGAGTAACCTTAGATTCGCCGATGATATTATACTCTTCTCGAGATCATCGAAACAACTAGAAGAAATGATATCAGAACTATGCAAAATAAGTAACGGAATAGGACTACAACTAAACACAATAAAAACTAAGGTGATGACTAACCACAGACAAACGCCTATACACGTTAACAATTTACAGAGCTTAGAATACGTAGAGAGCTACATATACCTAGGGAAATCCATCTCATTTCTTAATTCTAGAAACAAAGATGAGATTGACAGGAGAATAAACATGACATGGAGAAAGTTTTGGAGCTTAAAAGAAATATTTAAGTCTAATCTACCTGCAAAACTGAAAAAGAAAGTCATGGATGGATATTTACTACCCTGCTTGTCATACGGATCACAAACCTGGATCTACAACAAATATGCGACAGACAGAATACAGAAAACGCAGCGTGCTATGGAAAGGAGCATCTTGAATATTAGGCTGAAGGATAAAATAAAATCAGAAAACATAAGGAAAAAAACCAATGTGATAGATGCTCTACAACATATGAGAAAGCTCAAGTGGAAGTGGGCTGGCCACTTGGCACGACTGTCAGATGAAAGGTGGACGCATTTAGCCACAATGTGGACAGGTCCAAGTGGCAAGAGAGCTAGAGGACGTCCTAAGGAACGCTGGGTAGATGAGATCAAAAAATATGCCGGAAACGACTGGACAAAGAAAGCAAAGAAGAGAAAAACCTGGAAACTGTTGGAGGAGGCCTATACCCGCCAGGGGCCTTAACATAGATATACAAATGTGCATTATGTATTAATAATATGTACAATGTTATTATAATCCAAAATTTTATTTAGTTTTATAACTCTGTAAGTTAAGGAAATAAAAGAGGCTTTATTATTATTATTATTAAAGATGTTAATTAATTTGCAACATTCCGCTAACTAAATTCAATAATGTGTCCTAACTGGACTGAAGAGCACCTCCCGCCCCCCCCCTCAACTGCGTGCACCAATCCCGTCACCACTAATGCCAGCACCACTACTCCCAACACCATTACACCCGGCACACTACTCCCAATACCAATATTCCAGGAAAGACACACATCGACGATAATACGACAGGTGTTTCGCCTCTACACGAGGCATCCTCAGGTGATGTAGACTCTACGGCGACTGACCGGTCACCAGTCTTAGCGGACAAACCTTACGAGCACCACCAGCGACTAAACATATTTATTATTATTGTAATATCGTCACAAGCACACAACTCGTCACAATAGTTTCATCGATTTAAAAATTGATGGATGGCGCTACATTTTGCTGATAAATCTTTACATTAATTTTACTTCCAATGCATAAAATATATCTTCTTAGACTAATGGACATTACCTACAATTTATAAAATCAAACATAGGCTAATGACTTATCAAAAAAGAAAAAACGTTAGCCCTTTTGTGTAAATAATAAATAAGTAGATTTTACAATAGTCGCGAATAATAAATTTTGACTGTTTTTCTACATTAACACCATGTTTGAAATTAGTCAAGAGAACCTTGTGGTTAGGGCTAAGTACAATACCGCATGGCAACAATATAGTGAGCCAAACACTTCACAAAAATAATCCCCTTTAACCTTAATTTCGCTTTCCGTGTTCTCTACTATTTAACGCATACTGAATTAGTGGAAAGTTCACTTTTATGATATAATGGTATATAAAGTGGACTTTTGATAGGCTGTAATGGTGATGGTATTATAAAATACAGTACACACATTCTACCTGGTGGTAAGTGATTGCTGTGGCCCATGGGCATCTACATTAATCCTCGATTACGAATCAAAATGCAAATGCGTTGTCACTCATGAGGACTAAGATGGACTGCTTCGTTTCTAGTAATTTACGCTGTATTCGCTATTTTACGCTAGTATTCTGTGAGATCGTGGTCCTTCCCCGGTCGAGCCGACCCCTTTTTTATTAGATTAAGCATCTTTCAAATTAGGTATCTTTACAATTTTCATAAAAATCGCTTCAGTAGTTTTCAGATACGTTATGTTAAGCGTAAAGTTGATTTAAATTTTAACCGACTTCAAAAAAGGTGACTATCAATTCGACACGTATGTATGCAATAAATTACAGGAACTACAAAATATTGACATATGATAATCTGTTTGGGGTTCCAAACAAATATGCAAAATTTTATAGGTATATATTCGTTCGTATGTTTGTTCACGGATTTCTTCGAAAATAGTATTCGGATCGCGATCATTCTTTTTGTATTTATTTTAACTTAGAGTTTATTTGCTCACATTTATAAGTAGTCAACTTAGGGAATAATAACGATTTTATCATAATAGGTTCACTAGTTTTTATGACATTGACTTAAACGTGTAACTAAAACTGAAATAGTTTTTATAATAAATAGTTATTACAACTTGAAACTAAAAATTACGATATGAGATAGTAGTTTAAAAAAATTAAACTAATTTCAAAAAAAGTAAAAACTAACTGAATGAGGTATTTCATTTATTAAAGAATGGAATTTTCGAAATTGGTGTCAGCTAACAATGCTTTAAGAAAACAAACTTTCCAAAAAAAGTTGCTACAAAACTAATACTTCTACTAATTTTTTATACAAGTAGATAATAAGAAACAAGAATCTGAAAACCAGTAATTCCCGTTAATATTTTTTATTAAGCTATTGCATAGCTTCTATCGCGGGCCTTGAGCGCGGGGACCGAATCCAGAAATTCCGTAACGAAAAAACCTCACGCTCCCCACTCCGACGGGCACGGAGGTGTGGCGTTGAAAGCCGT